ATAGTGAATTCACAATTTTTTTTTCTTTGAGTTATATAGGGTTATAAATGGGTACAAATTATATAAATATTACGGAGTCCAATTAATAATTAAATTTAATTACAAGAATTACCAATAATAAAATATCTTCCTTTTATGGACAAATAAATTTGTCTTTAATACCTTGTGAAAATTAATTTTAAGTTGAAAACTTTCGAATAATTAATTCTAATAGCCCATTAGATGTTACGGCTCTGAAACGGTATGCGTTTTCGGAATTTATATTAAATTTTAAATTTCTTTTCCAAACCGAAAAACTTTTTATTGTAAATTCTGATTCAGTTTAGTTAATAATTAAAAACGATACTGACAATTTACAATAACCTAAAAATCTTTTTACAATTTAAGTATGCTAAAGAACATCTTTTTATTTTTTTTTATATAATTATTTTGTATAAAAAAAAAAAACGCTACTTTGAAACCGAAATTATTTCATTCTTATCGGTTTGTTTCTTTTTATTTTGTAGACCGAGTTTTTGCAAAAATGAGATTTTTACTTTTATAATTTATATTCCATAAACGAATGTTTTTAAAATAGTTTAAACGACAACATGATGTGCATTCTATATTGTAAAAGAAAAAAAAATTTGTCATTATTCAATAAGGAAAAAAAATTCATTTCTTGGTGGTTTCAGGCTTGGATTTCCACAGAAGATGAATAAAGGTGCACATTACATAAAAATATAATAAAAACATATACATAGATGAGGTCGATTGAAGCACCACGTTCTAGTTTATAACTCACAAAAAAAACATTTTGTATCAGAAATTCCAGCTGACAAATTTTAAGTCACGTCAGTTTAAATTATATGAGAAGTTTCCCTACGTAATAATTCAATTATAAATCGCAAATTTATTTACTTTTTTAAATCTTACTAAAAGTTTTAAAAGCATCCAACAGTAATGTAAAAATATTGTTGTTAATATAATACTCGGAATAATTCCATGGGCGACCGAGGCCCTTAGGATCTTCTCACATCGGTTTATAAGATTTTCTGTGATTCATACGAGTACTCGAAACTTTTAATATTACTAAAATTTGAGCCTGGTACAAAACTCATTTGTGAATTCTTAAATATTTGCTGCTAATTAATTAAAAAGCCGTACAACTTACATTATTTTGAATTTTAAGGTCAATTAAATTTCACATTACTTTGTTGCTGGACGCTGAGGATGCTAACAGTTTTTCTAACATTAAATTCATATTTTCCCAAATGTACGATCTTTGTAGTCAAAACTGAAAAATTTATAACCATTACAGCATGCTTCGCAATAAAAAGTCTATAAAATATAAATTATTTTATTCGATTGCAAATAATTACAATAATTTGATTTTTTTATTTTATAAAAAACCAAAATATTTACAAAAAAATTTTTTATTCAAAGTAGAGCACAGTATTATAAGTATGCATGTATGTTTCGTCAAATTAAACAGAAGCTTTGGCAGTTATTTTATTTAATTTTACCCATTGAATTGAATGCCTTTGATTGTGTATTTGAAAACCTGATTTCAGAGATGAATCTTCTAGTGCACGCAATTCACATTTAATATAAGAATCGTTACTAGTTTGTGAGAGAGAAAAAAAAACAAACATTAAAGATTGTAATTTTGAATTGATTTTTAATTTTAAAATTTTCAATTTTACATCTTGAGTTGAACAATATTATTGAATTGTTATAGAAGTTTTGTGCATTGACAGCTAGTGAAAAGATAAATGTTTTAATTAAATTGTGTTTGTAAAAAAATTAAATTTTTTTTTTCAAAAGACGGCAAAATAATTGGTTTGTGATTTCTGACCTTCGTTTAATTACAATATTTTGGTTGTCTTTTGATATTTATTGCAGAATTTATAAGATTTTTTAAGCGTGAAATTGTTGCTGTTATGTAAGTAATAAAATAAAATTGTAACAATTGATTTCGAATTCCATCCTTTTTCATAGACCATGAACTTTTTTTTATTAGTTCAAATGAGAGTACAATCACTTATCATAAAAAAACCATTTAAATAAACTTTTTAAATATTGAAGCTTACGATGTGTAAATTATACTTCATATAACTCCTGGAATAATGACCTCTCGGCGACCACATACAAAATTCAATTCCAAATTGGTTACAAATGAGCTGCATTGTCTTACAACATCGCATATCACTAAATGTTTCTTTAGTGAATCAGAAATTTAAGGAAATTGCTCTATTATACTTTTATTTTAATCGCAAATCTGTATCATCGGATTCTATTGGCCACCAAGAAAGATTTTTTAGACATGATTAGAATAGTAGTCTTGATTCAAAAAAATCTTAACGCATAAAATTAAATTTTTGTTTCCAAAAATTAAAATTTTTGGTAGACAAAATAAATTTTCAAATGAATAAAAATATTTAAATTTTATTTGTGCGCATATTGTGAATATAAAAGAGAAAAAACAAAAGCCACCTAGCGGTGAAATTTATTTAATTAATAAAAATTACGATCTATCTCATATATATATCGTTTTTTTTACGTTTTTGCCTTAGGTATAAATATTTACGATAAAAACAACGTGTAAGGTATCAAGGGCACAAACCAAAAACTTTTTCTTAAAATTTAAATAAGAATTACGGTAATAGCAGGTATAATAGCAAAAAAAAATTTTTTTTTTGCATGTACATGGAGAATATTCAGTACATGAAAGGTTCAATAAAAATTCAACTACTGGAGTTATTGAAAATATTGACAATATTATGCAACAAATATGGAACACATTAACACAGTATTTTAAGTATATGTGATTACAATATGAAATTATGTAGTTTTTTATCTCATACTCGAAAACTTAGAAGTTAAATAGTTAAGTATTTATTGAAATTTTTATCCAATACTCCGCAACTGGTGATTTCTTCTGATTTTGGTCTTCTGATTTCGGTGACTGGAGTTTTATCTTCAGAATGTTCGCATTATGTAGGTGAACTCGGCGATTCAGGGTAGTTTTAGTGATGTAAAGTAAACCAGATTGAAAAAATTCTGACTGAAAAATATTCATAACAGTTTCAAAACTCATGAAGTTTCGAAGAAAGAGAGTAGAGAAACAACATATTATTCCGCTACTCCTTTTCTTCGTTAATTGACCTAAATAACGGTAATATACATTATATGGTTGACCTTTTTCCGGAATTTATAGTGATGGATCGTCCTATATAGAAATTTAACGTAAAAACTTAAACATGCTGCGTGATTATTGGTAAACTTGCGTACTCTTTGCGTACAAAGCAAAATATTTTAGAAATATAATCGTATTTACGTTAAAAAAAAAATTGGCCAAATACATTTATCGTATTTTGACAAAAATACTCAAAAATAAACAACAACAACAATTTAATTGTCGAAATATTTTATAAATAAAAAAAATTATTGAAAAATTGTGATTTATAGGCTTTCAAATTATTATTTTAAATAAATAAAAATGGTATAAGAATTGATAAATGAATTCGGGGGGGAAAAAATAAAACAAAATATTTTTTTTTAACTTTAATTTTACATTTTAATTTTTATATGTACACATACATAATAATATGTATATATACCTATATACATTATACACTTATAATCGTACAATTATACAAATTTTTTTTTAAAAAACAGAGTGTTTTTTTTATTGTTGTTTCGTGGACCAATGTCACGCGGTATTTACACCATTACAGAATAAAATTATACAAATATACAAAAAAATTACATTTTAGTTAATTTTCATTTTACTCTTATATAATGCAATTAATATAATAAAAAATAAAAATATTGTATAAAAATTTTACAATAAAAATATATTATACGTTATAGTTTACACTCATACATACGAAGTGTGTGTGTGTATGTTTTCATAATTATTACTATATAATCTAAATTCATTTGTTTTTGTAATAGCAAAAATTTAACCTCGAAAAAATGCTAGGTCTAAATAATTGTTTTGTTTTTTTCTCTAAAGTTCCCTAAAATCTAGATATGACTGTATTTGGTCTGAAATTTTTTTTCTTTTTTTATTAAAATTTAATAAAAAAATAATATGTACATATGTATATATAAATTACAGTGTTATACGATAAATAATGAAATTTTTTAATATTTTAACAAATTCGAAAATTATTTCGAAAATTAAATGAAATATAAGAAGTGAATTCGATCATTTGTTGCTCGATATCAATCTAGACTTTTAAAGTGCGTTCTTATATTATAAAAGTTGTTGCGTACGTAAGTAAATTCTCAGAAAAATCATGAATTTTTTAAAATAAAAGCTTAGATTAACCATTGATTTTATTTCGAAATTAGATTTTTCAATTACAATATTGTCGAAATCAATTTAAACCACTTTAAATTAATATTTGTTGTTGTTTAGAAAATTGAATGCCACAGTAGGACCCTATTGTGCAGGCTTCACTTTTTACTTCTTTCTTTAGTTGATTGAAATTTTTGTAAAGTTGCACCAAGAGTCAAAACTTTAATAATATCAGTAATTTTATGTTCTTTTTTAAAAATTCATAAAGTAAAAATGGTAAATGCAACAAGCAGTAGGTCTTTTACTTAATTACTTTTAAAATTATTCAATTCTAATCAACGCAATTAATATTTAATCTAATCTTGAATTAGACAGTGTAAGTAAATTATTAAAACAATTATTCTGTTATATATACATAATATTTATATACACACATGTACATATATTGTAACCTGTTTTAATATCAATTCGAAAATTTCTAATTTTAAGATTATTTAAATAACATAATAAATTTAATAAATTTTACATAATATACGATATATATAAGGATATGTATATATATAATATAAAATCAAGCTTACATATATAATGAAATTTTTATGTATAAAAAAGAAAAATTTAAAAATATTATAGAACAAAAATTATTATTTTCAAAATCATTTAATTTATATATTTTCATATACATATATATGTAAAAGTGAAATGAACTTATTTAATTTAATAATAAACTATTTATATAGTCTTTTAGTATTCCTAAGCATTCTATATGTTTTGCAGTCTGACTTGATAATAAATTATCAACAAATATATCAACATATTCATGTTGTTTTTCAGGACCTTCTTGAACACAAGCAACATATTTATTATAAATTAATGCATTTGTTGAATCCGATGAAATATGCTGTAATCTATATTTTTCTGATAATAAACGTGTAGTTTGTGTTAATTGTTCTCTAGCTCTTTTATATTCTGTAAATTCATCATTAATCGGATGTATATGTGGTGGTAATTGAACCTCATTAATATGTTTTATATGATATTGACGATCAGATACAAATTTACCTAATAAAAAACCTGAAAATAAAATAAATAAAAAAAAAGAATTAGTTGATTATAAAAGTAGTTAAAGGAAAATAATTTCGAATTTTTTTAAAAGTTACATTTTAGGTATTTTAAATTTAATTCTGTTTAGTGATTCATTAGTTTATTCCTCTTGTATACTATACGTCGGCTGACGACAGGCGTCCCAAGTCAAGGTGGAACAGGATATGCCGATGACTGCGTGGCTAAGGGGGAGCTTAGTCGTTAGTATGCGGACTCTGGATACCAGGCGCCCTCCAGTTTAAACGAGCCTTCCCATGGTATGCCGGGCTCTGCCATGGCTGACTATACTTTTCCGCGCTACTCGTGGGAATAAGATGGAGAACGTAAACAATAACAACAACAGCAACAACAAGAACAATAACTGTGACAAACACAACAACTGCAACAACAACAATAACAACAGTGACAATTACAACAACAATAACAATACTAAGGACAACATTAATACAAACAGAGTTAGTGTTCAAGAGTCTGCGGAACCAGAGCTTCTCTAGACTGACGCAAAGGAGAAACTCATTCTCACGCCAGTAGAGGAAAAGGCGGCGCCTCCGGGAAAAAAACAATATTTCTCTGATGCATCCAAGCGGCGTATCGCGGCTTATATTAGGAATGGCATGTCGCCAGAGGAAGCTCGCAGATATGAGAAGGAAAGGCTAGAAAAGCTGAGGGCCTGCGGATCGGGTGTTGTGGCCGACCATCCCCAGTAGTGGGAAAGGTCAGAAAGCAACACCCCTGATGCAGGGCCCTCAAAAAAGAGGTCGATGAAGGGCAATGTTGAGGGGAAGGTCCCTGGGAACATTCCTCAACAAAACCCGAAAATGACTTCTTATCGGGATGCAGTAGCACAGGTCAAGGTGGCCATCACTCATAAACTGCATCCAGAAGAAAGGCTATCTGAAGTCCAAATGGGGAAAACCAAAGTAGCCATCATGGATGAAATGGATAAAGCTGTGGATTCTCATCCACAATTCACTGCAACGTTGCAAAGGGATGGATGCATATCCGTAACATGCAACAATCAAAACACCAGGGAGTGGATAACCAGTGTCTGCAGGAAGATAAAGCCTTGGGACGGTTGCAACGTCGTGGTACTGGATGGCGACGACATGCCCAAACAGCATGTCTATGTCACCTACGTGCCAAAGGACGAGACAATCGTCAGTCTCTCCAGGGACAAATTTCTAAGTAGGATAGGGAAGCAAAATCCCAGCCTCAAGATGAGTTCCTGGAGGGTGCTGAGGATGGATAGGGAAAAGGACGGGGGCTGCTCCATCACCTTTTCCGTGGATGCTTCCCGATTGGAAGATTTACGGAAAACGGAGTTCCGACTTTTCCTTAACTTCTTCCGTGTTACCGTTCGGGTTAAAGGAAAAAAAGTCGAAAGAAATAAAAAACCAATGCCCACCGCGACAACGACGAGCACTTCAGGCCAACCAAAAGAGCCAAAACTCATTGGAAAGATTGAAGTCGCTCCGAAAACGATGGAGGCGGAAGGACCGTCGACCAGCGGACTGGGTACAAGCGTCCCGGGTGAACCAAAAAGGCCCAAGCCCATTGGGAAGCCCGGTACTACTTCGGTATTTGCTGTTGGAGGGGTCAAGAGGCTGTGGCAGGGCAGGCGCCCACCAAGATGCGTAAAAAGGCGGCAATGGGAAGCAAGGCTCATGTAAAGCTTTTGTCTAAAGCGCCAAAGCCCATAGACAAGAGCCGGAGGAAATGATATGGCTGTGAGGTGCATCCAAATAAATCTAGAGCATGCTAGGTCATCTACTGATGTTATAGCTCATAGATTTGTGAAGGATCACTTCTACATCGCCCTTATCCAAGACCATTACATAGTGAAGGATCAGGTTAAGGCCTAACAGGTGAGGTATTGTATGATAATACAATTGGAGGCAGGTATAGGGCTTGCATTTTGTTTAGTAAAAGGCTAACGTATTTTTCCATTCCAGATTACTGTTCTAATGATCAGGTAGCTACGTTGGTGAAGGTGAAGTCTTCCAGGGGTTGGACAGAGTTCATTGTGTGCCCATCCTACCTCCCGGGAGACTGTGCCCACTCGGACGAGCAACTGAAGGATCTAGTGGACTTTTGTGGAAGTATAAACTTTCAACTTATAATAGGAAGTGATGGCAATGCCCACCACACCGTCTGGGGAAACTGGAATAAAAACTAAAGAGGTGAGTGCCTGCATGAATTTCTATATAGCAATAAATTAATGGTTATGAATGAGGGAAATAGGCCGGCATTCATAAATGCAATTAGGGAAGAGGTTCTTGACATCACCCTTTGCACTGAATTCATCGGCAGCAGGATTGGTGGATGGCATGTCTCAAATGAGACATCCATGTCCGATCATAGGCAGATTAGGTTTGATATCATAGTCTCCAGGGGCTTGACAGAAGAAATGTATCGGGTACCTCAATCCACAGATTGGAGTCAATTCGTAACACTCCTCATGGACCGGATTGGATTCATTGACGCTTGTGTCAGAACGGTGATGGATATCGAACTGGCCAGCGAGGCTCTGACGGCGGCTATTACTAGTGCCTACCATGGGAGCTGCCGCGCTAAGCCGAGGCGGAGCAATAGGAAGTGCCCGTGGTGCAATGAAGAGCTTTCAAGGCTTAGACTAAAGACCAGAAAGCAATTCAATAAGGCCAAGGCGTCGTGTTCGTGGGAAGAGTATAAGAACTCACTCACGAAATACAATAAAGAAATTAGGAAAGCGAAGAGAATTTCGTGTAGGGCGTTCTGCAAGGGCATTGATGAACTCTCCAGCAGTGCGCCCAGGAGGGATGACTGGCAACGATCCAGTCTGGTCTTCACGATGGGCAGGATTAGATGGGCTGTTTTCTCTTTCAAGCCCTTTAAATCTCCAGGTGATGACGGGATATATTTTGCATTTTTTCAGAGGGGTTTCCAACATATCGCCAGAGCACTGTTGGAAATTTTTCGTGCCAGCTATGCGTGGGGTTATATCCCTCAGGCATGGAGGGTGTCAAAAGTGACATATATTCCGAAGGCGGGTAAGCGACCAAGCAACCACCCAAGCGACCAAGCAACCACCAACATAAAAATTACAAATTTAAATTTTCATAATCTTTACCAAAAGTTTTAAAGTTTTATGATGACATTGAAGATTTTCATTCTTCATATACAAAAACATTAATATTTCAAAGGACATTGTCGAATGCATAAAATATTTTAATTATAATTGAAAAAACTTTTAATTTTTGCTTATATTAGAAAAGTTTTCTAATCAGAATTATTATCAAAATTGAATATATTTTGTGTAATATACATATATAGTATATAGGAGTATATAGGATATTTTATAAAATGCCAAAACTATTTTCATTCTTTTCCAACCAATTGTTGTGGCAGCAAATGTTTAAAGTTAAAGACATTAACTTTTGCCACAAATAATTAAGTTTTTCCTTTCAATTTCTCTAGTTTTCATTCATTTAGTCATTTTGTTTTTTGTTTTTGCAAAATTCGTTTTCTTAAGGCAACTATTTAAAAAAAGTTTCGAATTTTTGTCCTTTTCATATGTAAAGTAGAGTAAATAGAAAAACAAGAAATTAAAACACTATAAATGTTTAGAATGAGTACAGGACAATAACCCTAAAGCTTAACTAAAATTGAAAACAAAAAAAAAAGCTTTATATAAAGGTAAAAAAAGAGAGAAAGAGAGTGTATGAAAATAGGGAGATGGAAACGGCCGGTCACGGTAATTTTGTTTTTCCAATCCACCCCACCCCTATGAAAAAATTTTAGTTCTGTTTTTTCTCATCTCTCATTTCGTTTTTTGTTATTTTTCTTTCTCTTTTGCAAAGAAAAACAAAAATTTTTTTAATTTTAAATGGGGTGCCTAAAATTAATTTTTATTGCTTTCTTTCTCCTATTTTTCTCCACGTTTTCTTCAAAATTTCCTTTTTCGAATATTTTTTCAATTTTACTATTAAATTTAATTTTGGATTCTTAAAATATTGAATTTAATTTTTGAAAATTATTTTGTTAAAAATGTTTGTACCTGCCTATGTCATTGAATAGCTGCACCTATTTAATATGATTATGTTCGGGTATAACACTTATATGTGGACACAAAATAATTCTTATTATTTGTCTGTACCTGTTGTGTATTTTCATTTCATAAAGATTTTATGTAATAATTTTGTTAAAATGAAACCATAAAATCAGAATCAGTTATGCAAGAATAGTGCATGTACTCGTAGGTATACAAGAGATTACAAAACGAAATACGTATTGGATTATTTTTTTTTGGAAAAATTGGCAAAAATACAAAGTGTAAGTATGTTATAAAATATTTTCCTTTCAGTTTTATTCATACAAAACTGCACAGTCCTATACATACTTGCATACAAATATGTACATACAACATTGCTTGCATTCTGTATTGTAGATGACGCTCTCTAGTTCATCATACTTTGGAAAATTATGATTTTTATGTGTGAATATTTTTAGCATGCACTAATATTTGTGTTTGTATGTAGGTGTACAATATTAAAGTAAATAACCTGAACATTGAAATTAAAGTAATTTTGCTTTTGTTTTTAGCACTTTTCCAAAAATTTTTTGAAAAAAAGTGCTTATTAGTTTCACTCTGTCCGTCCGTCCGTCCGTCCGTCCGTCCGTCCGTCCGTCCGTCCGTCCGTCCGTCTGTCCGTGTGTCTGTTTACAAAACTTCTACATTCTTAAAGATAGAAAGCTGAAATTTAATACGTGCATAGATCTTTACTAGAAACTTATTTTCGTAGAACAAAATTTTTACCTATCTCCCCCCCTCTAGAAGTTATACCCCCCCAAAGCCACAAAAATGGCCCATTTTAACTATTTGTTGCAATGAAACCATAAGCATTTTTGAAATTTTGCAAACGCAGAAAGGCAGCGGCTTGCTTTCCCTAGCGCGGTATACTATAGTTAAACTTTAGAAAAACAAAATGGCC